CTACTCGATGACGAGCGTCACGACACACTCCGCAGCTCAATTATTGCTTTGTGCAGTGAAGTTCACCCAATGGATGGACCGCCTGCTGTCATTCGAACTGATCCAGCTCCCGGTTTTGTAGCCCTTGTTAATGACAGGTTTATGAAACAAAATGGTGTAGTTATTGAAATCGGTCGAGTCAAGAACAAGAATAAGAACCCAGTTGCAGAAAGAGCTGTTCAAGAACTCATAACTGAGTTACTGCGTCAAGACCCTCAGTGCAGTTACGTCTCGCCCCTCAACCTTTCTCTTGCCACTGCACGTCTGAACTCACGGATCAGAACCAGAGGTTTCTCCGCCAGGGTAATGTGGACACAACGCGACCAGCACACAAACTCTCAGTTGCCTATACATGACATGGATCTAATTCTTAGTCAACATGGCCAACGTGTGTCCAATCATTTATCAAGTGAAGTCTAAGACTCCCACCCTCAAGCAGGGTCTGACACCTGACATTGATGTAGGAAGCATAGTCTACATTCACAGCGATGGCTCCAAGTCCCGTGCCCGTGATCGTTACATTGTCACAGCAGTTGACAATGACTGGTGCAACGTTCGTAAATTCACCGGATCACAACTTCGAAACACTTCCTATAGAGTGAAAAGTCGGTGTTACTCTGTTACAAAACCTTCACTGCAACAAGCATCCACTTTGTCGGCTGATCTTCAATATCTGCCAGTGGGAGATGAACATGACAGATTCCCAAAGTCTCTACCTCCTCCTCCTCAACCTCCTCCTATACCAGATGTCATCATGGAGCCCCTACACCTGCAGAGAGCTGACCCTATTATGCTGACATGAATTCATACCCGTATCGCACTACTGGTAACACTGACTATCCAGAAGATACTTCAACAGACTCCCCTATCGATCAATCAGAACCTTCTATGTCTCCAAAGTTGCGTCGGTCCAGTCGCAATCGTCAGATGCCATGCCACCTCTCAGACTATATCCTTTACTAGAGTAATGTGTGTGAGCATCCTCTGGTGATACTGTGTTACATATATCAGTTGCTTTATGTGATGGGGCAGAATAATCCCCGAGACTGGAGGGCAGTCTACTCAGTGATGGTCTCTCATTTCCTTTTCAGTTTGTCAGTGTTATAATCCACCTCTACAGGACATATTTGTTCCAAAGAGTCTAAACGACAATTTACCATTTGTTTACTGTTATTTGGTTGTATTTGGTATTCCCCTTTCATATGCAAACATGTGTGGATCCCATCCATAATTTTTTTTATAAGACGAAAGAAGGAGAAGTTACGCCAGTTGGCAGTTAGTTATTAGCGAGTTAACACAATGACTCTAAGAGTTATCTCCCTTAAACATAAACTCGCTTTCCCAGTTTTATGTTCGGTTCTTCGGTCTGTCTGTGTGTCGCCTTGGCTTCGACAATAAAGTGTTTGGATTTGATTGCACGTGTCCTGGCTGTTTATCGTGGAGGCGGAACCTTCTCCATTACATGTTCACCAGGGTATATTTCAATTTGAACCCATGAAGATCCGGGTTAGAATTGGTCATAACAGCCGACTAACCGAAACGGGTGGACAGGCTCGCTGGTTCACACATGTCATCGTATCCCAATTGTGTATATTGGTGTTCATGCTGTTGATCACTGGAATGCCTGATCCAGACTCGATTATTTACAGACCGCCACCATATATAGCTGGAATGTTGCCGAGTGCGGCGTAAAACAACAAACACTCAATGAATATTGCAATTGTGGGTGTTAGCAATGACCAAAGTAAATATCACAAGAAATTTTATTTCAATGTCCACAAATAGCATACAAAGTAAAACACCGCTGTGTCGAAGTTGAAGAGATTGATATACATACTTCGACTTATCCGAGGTTAGACACAACGCAAAAATATGACATAAGGATGGACACACCGGGACAAACTTTTTACTTCGAGACAATTGTACGTTCGACTGCTATAAATTAAGTACTTAGAGCACATCAGCATTTCATAGAAATACGTCATAAGGATGTCTTGAAACTGTCATATAGCCGACAGTGTTGTATGGTCATACTGCTGAAACTATTCCTTTTATTTGCGCTGTCCTTTACGTAACAGGCTTCAGTAACCCATGCTTGTTGTCAGAGACGACTAATAGGAGCGGGTGGTCAGGCTCGCTGACTTGGTTTAGACATGTCGTCGTATCCCAATCACGTAGATCGATGCTCATGCTGATCCAGGCTCGATTACTTACAGACCGTCGCCATATAGCTTGAATATTAGTGAGTGCGGCGTTAAATAAACCAACCAACCCTTTACAACCAACCAAACAACAGGTTGGACGTTACGTGCAATATACAACTCCGGCGATGAGGTTGTACATGCACATTTGAACTTCGATTTGCGTTAACCATTATGAATATAGATCGGAGGGTCGATGTCGTGCTCTGAAGGTTAACTTATGTGAGGCACAGGTAAGTATTTATCGTGCAAGACTTGATGTCAGCTTCTAAAAACCTATTGATACATCATAAAGTAATCCATTCAGGTATGCATACATGGAGTAACGTGTTATGCATGTGACATTAGAAACACGAAATATGTTTCGGAAATTAACCTGTCGCCAGATATGGTGGTAATGTCTTATTGTATCGATGTGGAGAAGTCAGCAGTAATGTTTGTTCCTATAAATATTAAACCTCTGTCGTAAAAAGAGAGGCAAACGTTCACCCCGGTGTGTTAATTAAACGAACATTAAATTGTTAGAAGACCTTATGACGTAGTTCAGTAAATTGATCGTTATTCCACACATATTTCGTGTGTACTCGTCAATAGTTTTTGTGTATTGTCCAAACTCACGGATATAATCGCTGTACACATCAACTGTCTTCCGGGTGGATCTTCACGAACTGTCTTACTGGTGTATCGTCACGTCAACTGTCTTCGTGGTGTATTGTCTAAATTAGATAATATTTTGGGTATACTTTATTAATTGTCCTTTTTGAATATTTTTTTAATTCCGCGCAGTTTGTGTACTCACACTAACTGTCTTTGCTGTGCATTGTCTAAATACAAAATACTTCGTATGTTCACGTCATCTAGCCTGGTGTTCTAATGCCTCTAGTCTTTGTGAAATATCTTTGGTTGTATTTCATATCCCGAATATGTCCACGCCAAAGCTATGTCAAATCTTGTCACGTCAAATAGATGACCCTGATGATGCTTGTATACTAAAGTACTGTTGGAAATAGAAAAAAAACTGTTTTTAGGCTGTAACTCTGTATCCCTAAAATTTACACAATTGCAAATAGCATATGTCGAAATAACCCACTTCGGCCTAACTGGGCGTTTAGTGGGATGCGTAATACGATATCCAGAAAAGCATGTTTACTCGTAAAATCGGGCAAAACGTAGAAAAAATACGAATAGCTGCTGAAAACAATAGATCAGACTTTAGATGGCAATTAGGTTGCTCAGCCAGGTATGACGACGGACCGTCGACTCACCTGGCATGAAATGCACGTGCTGTCTACAGGCACAAGGGGGTCATCTCATAGACAGTACTATGGTATTCATTTATGGCACACGTATTGTTTGTGTCCAAGGCAATGGTCGTGTTGTTCTTGTTGTCAGTGAATTCATGTCCACATGTCCCTTGTGTGATGTCCACGATACCAATGGTACTTCATTTATTCAATTCTACAAATATTCTGTGTTTACAAGTCAGTGGCGCTTTTGGTATTTCATCTAGCCACTAACTGCCCACACATTATCTGTTGAGGTGAGGTGAAATTTGGTTTAACGTCGTGCTTAAGCATATTTCGCTCATATGACGACATGCATGCGTGTGTATGTGCGGCTGTTTGTACTAGCCCAGACTGAAGCTGGTTTTATAGTGCTAGCCCACTGAGATACCATGCCGCAGTGAAGCATGAATAGCCCACTCAGACACATTATACTGACTCCGAGCCGAACAGTCCTTGTTGTACCTATTAATGCCGAGCGCCAGGCAGGGACCAATAAGTACCATATCTTAACTTCTTTTGGTATGACGCGGTCGGGGATCGAACCCGCGACCTTCCGCTCTCCAGGCGGACGCTCTAACCACTACACCACGGAGGCGATCCATTATCTGTTGAAGATAACATCTCTTACATTATTTCATCTAATGTCAATTATACTACTCATACTTTGCTAAGGATCACAAAAAATCACAACTTTACTTAAACGTAGATTTATAATTTGAAATTGTATCCATTTGAAATTGGATAAATAATGATATGGTAACCCCTCTGTAGGAAAACAGTCACTCCAATCTAACCTTATGCACTTGACACATGAGTAACCATAGACATTGTATTCATGGCAACAATCAACCATTTTGCAAATCATGGTACAGTCATTGACAAGTACACTACACCTGTCAATAGCAGGTACGGGATCCACAAGACGAAATGACAAACTGAAACCTAGGATCCATGCTTACAATAAGCTTAGATATTTAAACCAAATTTGACACCATATCATAGTTTTCTGTTGAATCCATGATTTGATCCTTAGCAAAGTGTGAACAGTATAATTTCAAATATGGTCTGTGTGTCAAAGTCAACAATCCTGATGGTGTTTTGTCTCCTAAGTACTTAGAAACACACTCCTTGTGTTCACGACAATAATTTATAGTCAAGGCGGTATTTTATCTGTTAGTGATTTCACGTGTTGTTTAACTCCGCTGCAGCATGTATCTTTATTTTCACGAACGTTGCTCTGCCTGTCCGTCAGCTGTCACGCTTCAGGTGTGCCTTGGTTGGCGTTCCTGGATGACATTTTGTCTCTACAAACAAAATTGAAATGCATGGACCAACAAGTACCATATTTTAACGTCTTTTGGTATGACGCGGTCGGGGATCGAAGCCGCGACCTTTCGTTCGCCGGGCGGACACTCTAACCACAACACCACGGAGGCGGGCTCTATACGTATGAAGATAGCAAGTAAAACACAGTTTACCTAGATATGAGTCGAGGAAGGAACTGGCTTGTGTATTTGTGACGTTGACAGTGACTGTGGACGAGACGAGAGGAGTCTCGGTGGTGTTGCCACCTGTGGATGGAGCAGCCTGGCCTGGAATAGATGATGCATTTGTGACCGTTACCACGCCTGTTGTGTTGGGTGTTTTTTAAGCTGGTCCCATCAGCTGACAGGGTCGTGGCATTGTCTGTGTTTGCCGAAACTGATGAAGTGGTTGATGATGTGTTGGTAGGCGGCAAAACAGGTGTTTCGGTGTTGGGTAAAACAGATGAATTTGTAGGAGGGGAGCTGATCGATGTGGATGTGTTGCCTGGTGGTTTGTTAGTACTCGTTGATATTGATGCATTTGTTACAGATGTGTTAGTAGTGGGAGGAACAGAAGATGCGGTTGGTTTGTCAGTACTATTGGACACATATGAAGACGTGGTGGGGTTTTCAGTACTGTTTGACACGGATGAAGACGTGGTGGGTGTTTCCGTACTATTCGGCATCGAAGAAGATGTGGTGGGTTTTTCAGTACTCGTCAACACAGGTGAAGCCGTAGTGGGTTTGGCAGTAGTGACCACCACAGATGAAGATGTTGTCGGTGAGTCGGTACTATTCGGCACTGACGAAGAAGTGGGTGGTGAATCAGTACTTGTCGACACCGAAGAAGAAGTTTTAGATGTAGTAGCAGGTGCACTAGTCGGTGGCCGAGACGTTGTCGGCGGGTCTTTCGGCGGAGGAACAGTGGTAGTAGTTGTGACCTTGTCCAAAATGTCATTTATGTCTTGGGCCAGACATGTCAGTTTCATTTGTCCATCTGAAAGACATGAACGTATATACTTCCCATCATTAGTGTAATGTAGCCACTTACTTCAGGCAACTGTTCTCAACTAGATTTTACAGAAGATTCCATACTGTTTAAAGGTACTGTTTACACATGAACTGATGTATAGTAAAACAAATTAATAATGTTGAAAAGATTATTGTCATGAGTTCAATAAATAAGAAAAATCAGTAAAAATGGGCGAATTCTAAACAAAACTTTATACCAAAACACAGTTGTCCACATGCACGATATTTGCACATTCTGTTTAGCAATTTGATGCATGATCCTCGTACAATTCGTCTGCACTAGGTTTGCAGTTGGTTCCCCCAAGTTAGTGGAGACATCTTTGATGTCACCATATATATACATGTATATACATGTTAGTATTTTAAGTGAGGTTTTTTTATGGGAAGTATAGAATAAAAATTAGATATCAATGTATCCACTGTTCTACTTTCCAAACGGAACATGCTTTAGTGACTGAGTCTAATTTTAGGTCATGAATGGGTTTCACACATTGTACCCATGTGGGCGAATCGATCCATGGTCTTCATCAACGCTTGAACTACTGGGCTACTTCACCTCCCTGAAATTTGTTTTGCGTGAGGAGACATTAAACGTCAGTACAGAAGAATACCCAGTCTTGTCTATCCACAGAAAGATAATCCTTTCTGTGAAAAGGGGAAATAGCCATCGCATATATTGATGGATCCCTGAACAGCGATGATGGCAACAGAAATCGAAGGACCGGAAGATCATGTTTAATAATTTTCAATAAATTACAGATTAGAACCGCTTCCGTGGTGAAGTGGTTAGAACGTCCGCCCGGAGAGCGGGAGGTCGCGGGTTCGATCCCTGACCGCGTCATACCAAAATACGTTAAAATATGGTACTTGTTGGTCCCTGCCTGGCGCTCGGCATTAATGGGTACAACAAGGACTGGTCGGCTCGGAGTCAGTATAATGTGTCTGAGTGGGCTATTCATGCTTCACTGCGGCATGGTATCTCAGTGGGCTAGCACTATAAAACCAGTTTAAGTCTGGGCTAGTACAAGCAGCCGCACATACACATACACACGCATGCACGTCGTCATATGAGCGAAATATTCTCAAGTACGACGGTAAACCAAATTTCACCTCACCTCACAGATTAGAAGTGCATGCATTCCGATGCTTATAGGAGCAGAACAACGTTTTGGGAATCACTTCTTTGAGTGGAATTTAGAAGTTGGTGTGAGTTCTATGGATATACAACGTTTCGGTGCAGATACTAACACAATTGTCACTTGTTAGTAGCGTTAGTAGGTGCACCGAAACGTCGCTCAGATTAATAATAGAGATGTTGTATATCCATAGAACTCTACTTGTTCGTTTTGGAAATAAATTGGCATTTCATCCAGTAGCAAACCAAACCCAAACCATTTTCCAAGACACACTAATGTAGTGATTATCAGGGGCGGTGGGGTAGCCTAGTGGTTAAAAAAGCGTTGGCTCGTCACGCCAAAGACCCGGGTTCGAATCCCCACATTGGTACAATGTGTGAAGCCCATTTCTGGTGTCCCCCGTCATGATGTCGCTGGAATATTGCTAAAAGCGGCGTAAAACCAAACTCAGTCAGTCAGTCAGTGATTATCAAGACAAACATGGTTGTACATCTTCAATGTGTGAAAACATAAACCGGAAACAGAGTGCAGTTATTATTATGAATATTATCCAGACTGGGCTACCATACAGAATCGACGCTGTAGTCATGTGGATCCGCCTCACCAAACGGGCGGTAAGCATTAATAGCTCATGGAGGTATTGACATCAGAGGAGATATTTCTTGCAGCTGTGACATAGCTCATTGTGTGGTATTGTGCTCCCATTAGACAGATCGATGCTCTTAAAATCAATCACTACTTTGCTGGCCTAGTCCCGAACTGTTTAGAAACAATGCAATATAATACTTCAATATGTTACGCGCTTCGCCCATCTCACTTCTTTCATGTAAATACCATCAAACCAAGAGTAGACCTACTCCCACCTGTTCTGGAGAAATCGATATTACCTAACTATAAAAATCCTGCCTAACCTACATGTTCTGAATATCAAGAAGGCCACCACGAGGACCTGTCAGCATACATGTTCTATTAAACCTCACGATGACTTGTCAACATACGTGTTCTATAAAACCTCACGGGGACCTGTCAACACACATATCAAGCCTCACGAGGACCTGTAAATACAACTCTTATATCAAACCTCATGAGGACCTGTCAACACACTTCTTATATCAAACCTCACGAGGACCTGTCAACACACCTCTTATATCATACTGACGAGGACCTGTCAACACACTTGTTCTATAAAACTTCACGAGGACCTGTCAACAAACTTCTTATATCAAACCTCATGAGGACCTGTCAACATACTGAGTGTATAAAAACCTCACGAGGACCTGTCAACACATTTCCTATATCAGACCTCAAGAGGACATGTCAACAAACGTCTTATATTAAACCTCACGGGGACCTGTCAACATATTAGTCTTGGTCTATAAAACCTCAGAGGACCTGTCAACACATTTCCTATATATCAAAACCTCACGAGGACCTGTGAACACACTCTCATGTCAAGCCTCTCTTTGGACCTGCCAACCGATATGTATTGATATGTATATCAATCCAATTCCTGCACCCATGTTGTGGATGTAGTGACATCAACCCAGGGGCGGTGGGGTAGCCTAGTGGTTAAAGCGTTGGCTCGTCACGCCAAAGACCCGGGTTCGATTCCCCACATGGGCACAATGTGTTAAGCCCATTCCTGGTGTCCCCCGCCGTGATATTGCTGGAATATTGCTAAAAGCGGCGTAAAACTAAAACTCAGTCAGTCAGTCAGACATCAACCCAAACCACTTGTTGACCTGTTGTAAATAGTGCATAGCAACTTGAACACAACTTAAGGGCGACACCTGTTGTGGGTATCATGGTATCAATAAAACCCGTTCCACCAACCTGCAGTTTGGATATAATATTTTTGCATTCTTACACTAAGAGCCGGCCTATCTCTCCATTCTATTTGCAACATTGCCTTGTTTGACTTCATTAGAAACGTACATCCCACTGACCGCTACAAAGTCACATGTATCCACTGTCGACTGTGTTGTTGGTTGTACTATCATCAGACTGATTTGTCACTGTCATAACCACAGGTTTTACTGTCTCCCAGGTAGATAAATCTTGTTGACACATCGGCATATGTGTTTCTCTGTAATCAACCTACATGTGTCGTGAATACTGCATGTACCCGACAACCTTTGAGTATGTCATAGTGTCCAGCCTGCCTGATGGCTATGGGTAACGTTGTAGAACATGCCGTCAATGCATAATCCACCTACCAACTGCTGTGTCTTAGTGTCCATTCCGTTATGGATTTTATATGTCACACTTGTTAGTAATGTGTCTATCATATTGTCCAACCTCCATGTTGGCTATACGTATATGCAAATGTCCCTGTTTATCGCGGAGTCCAGTCTGAATGTAGGACAAATACGTACACACACGACGTACGAACACGACGTACACATTGCAGCTGTGTATATTCTAATTTCAAACTCAAACGTAGGTGGTAGTTCAGAAAACTGTTGCAGTAGTGTCATACATAAATGTAGGCAATATATGGGTACATACAGTACTGGTGTTGTGTCTACAGTTAGTGGTGTCATATCTAGATGTAGGCATTGTGTGGGTACATACAGTACTGGTGTTGTGTCTACAGTTAGTGGTGTCACATCCAGATGTAGGCATTATGTGGGTACATACAGTACTGGTGTTGTGTCTACAGTTAGTGGTGTCACATCCAGATGTAGGCATTATGTGGGTACATACAGTACTGGTGTTGTGTCTACAGTTAGTGGTGTCACATCCAGATGTAGGCAATATGTGGGTACATACAGTACTGGTGTTGTGTCTACAGTTAGTGGTGTCACATCCAGATGTAGGCAATATGTGGGTACATACAGTACTGGTGTTGTGTCTACAGTTAGTGGTGTCACATCCAGATGTAGGCATTATGTGGGAACATACAGTACTGGTGTTGTGTCTACAGTTAGTGGTGTCACATCCAGATGTAGGCATTATGTGGGTACATACAGTACTGGTGTTGTGTCTACAGTTAGTGGTGTCACATCCAGATGTAGGCATTATGTGGGAACATACAATACTGGTGTTGTGTCTACAGTGAGTGGTGTCACATCCAGATGTAGGCATTATGTGGGTACATACAGTACTGGTGTTGTGTCTACAGTGAGTGGTGTCATATCCAGATGTAGGCAATATGTGGGTACATACAGTACTGGTGTTGTGTCTACAGTTAGTGGTGTCACATCCAGATGTAGGCAATATGTGGGTACATACAGTACTGGTGTTGTGTCTACAGTGAGTGGTGTCACATCCAGATGTAGGCAATATGTGGGTACATACAGTACTGGTGTTGTGTCTACAGTGAGTGGTGTCATATCCAGATGTAGGCAATATGTGGGTACATACAGTACTGGTGTTGTGTCTACAGTTAGTGGTGTCACATCCAGATGTAGGCATTATGTGGGTACATACAGTACTGGTGTTGTGTCTACAGTTAGTGGTGTCATATCCAGATGTAGGCATTATGTGGGTACATACAGTACTGGTGTTGTGTCTACAGTGAGTGGTGTCACATCCAGATGTAGGCATTATGTGGGTACATACAATACTGGTGTTGTGTCTACAGTTAGTGGTGTCATATCCAGATGTAGGCATTATGTGGGTACATACAGTACTGGTGTTGTGTCTACAGTTAGTGGTGTCACATCCAGATGTAGGCAATATGTGGGTACATACAGTACTGGTGTTGTGTCTACAGTTAGTGGTGTCACATCCAGATGTAGGCATTATGTGGGTACATACAGTACTGGTGTTGTGTCTACAGTTAGTGGTGTCATATCCAGATGTAGGCATTATGTGGGTACATACA